ATTTACAATCGCTTTTATTTTAAACCGAGAGATATATTGAGATATGTTTTTATGTTTTGAGCACATATTGGGTCCGTAATGTCAGGTATAACGAGTGCATAATACGTATCTCTGAGTGCAGTAACAATTGAAATCACTTACAATAAAATTCATGTAATTATCGGATTCACCGGTTAATTATTTTTAATCATTTAATCAGTTCTAGTGATAATATGTACTAGGCACTGATATGTAGTTTTAATTATTAAAATTCTTAGACTAATGATACATTTTATAGTTTTTGTATCCTATATTATACTGCTAATTTTATATTATCCAATTAATTATACATGTTGATTCATATATTTACCGAGCAGTAAATTAATGACATTAATAGTAAGTAATCTGTTTATAATAAACATGTTCAGCGCATTTGGCGGCAAATATTTCTTTCATTTATTTTACATCTTATATAATATTTTCTGAGAAAACAAAATACAAGCGAAAACAAGAAAATACCTATAATTGCCTGTACCTTTTTAATTGCATGCAAAGAGACAAATAATGTCTTAAGTAAATTGCATATCAGTTGCACATCAATGTGTAAATACAAGTCCTGCCAGAGAGTCCTGACTGCTCATCTCAAATGCCATCATAAATATATTACAACGAATAGAATTGTAAAATAAATTTGATGATAATAATAATTCGTGTTCAGGGTGCACTATAATAAGTAAAAGTTTTTTAATTGTTTTATGAGTTAGTCTCTAAGCAAGCAAATTATATATAAATTAGAGTCAAAAGCGAATGATTTCTTTAGTGTAGAGAAGATTGTGTGGAGACAAGTGTTTGTGTTATAAATATATTTTATATTCACTTTTGTTTCGCAAATCGAGAGTACAATTGAGAGTTTCATTTCTGACAACAAAAGTATTAATTCACAAGAAATTAGTTATTTTTCGTTTCCAAACACTCCAACGAAATTGACGATATTTTAAGACCTTTGACAGTGATATACAAATACCAAAGTACAGTACAATACGATTGTAACTTCTTATGTAACTTTTTTAACTTTTTAAAAATCCATTTCATTATAATTTCATTATAACATTATAAATGTATTTTTATTTGATGGTCACCTCATGTAATGAATTTAAAACACTTATGTTGTATTTAAATGTAATTATCTTATTGTTGAGACGTCTTTAACACAAATGGTTTTCAAAAGAATTGGTTTATCTGAACAATCATTTTCATCATTGTGTACATCATCTCAATTATACCGTATTCTCATAATTAGCCGCTATGTTAGAGCACTGGTGTCTAAATATACTAATCGCACACTCCCTGCTAAATCCTAAAATAAATTCCTAGTGACTATTTTCGCTATCTATGTATGTTTGTGATGCCATTCCCTCGCTATAGTGTCCACACTGCCCCGAAATACATATATCTACTGTATATCTAATTTTTAGAAAATTATCTTATTTGATAATTAATTCATTTTAATATTTTAATTGTTCCTTTCGTACCATAAATTCCGAACTCATTTCTTAAATGATTTTTTCTGGTTTTCCTATAATAATTTAGATTTGAAACAAATGCCATAAAACTTCTCTGATAACAAGCACATTAAATTGGAGGACTTTTCTCCCTCACTGTATCATTAAATTGTAATAACAATTATTACTAACAAAATCTTTTATTACTGATAGCGATAGGCCGTACGATTCGCGGGGAGACAATATCGCATCAAAGGGGCTGACAGTTTGTGGTGTCTGTCAGTCACAGAGTTGGTCTGACAGTGAAAGGAAAGGGAATGGGATCTAATTAATTGCTTCCTTATAATTGATATGTGAAGCACTACTCACTACATATTAAATAATAATAATAAATACATAAAAAAAAAGTTTTACAATATAAGAAACTATAGGACTAATAGTTTTTTAATATAAAACATATAATAATAATATAAATGAAATGGATTTTACAAAACTTATATCAAAGTCTAATCCATACGACTCGGCAAACATTGTGAACCGAAATTTTTTCTGGTTTGTAGTCATTATTCATTATTATTATATAATATTATATTAATATTTTTTCCCATTACCATCTTAACAGAGTCAATTAAAATAATTTACTTATTATTGTTTCGTATAAAATTATGTGAAAGTTATATAGCGATTTAAAATTCACATTTTCATTTTCGTAAAACAATTCAATTGTCTTACGATTATTGAGAGACAATTAGTTCATAATTAATGTTTAACTCAATGAACACTTAATATAATTCCCTAATACAGTACACAAACATAGAGAATGCAGTTCAGGTATATTTATGTCTAATTGTGTGCATTGTATGAATAGGTGGATAAATCCCTTACTATATCAGGGATACAAAACCGAGTTGAGTGTTAGTGACCTCTACAAGAATCCTAAAGTCGATTCATCTGAGCGTTTGGGTGGAAGACTACAACAGTAAGTGAACTCACTTTTGCCTAACCATTCACACAAACCCTTTGTTTCTACATTTCTTGCTTGTTTCTTTTGTATTATTTGTATTACATTATGCAATCATTTGTGGAATTTTTCTTTATTTCGGTACTCTATTTACATGTAATGTATCCCAAAGTTTAATGTTTAGTATCGCTTAACTTAATTTAATAGTTATGCGGTTTAATGTATGTAGGGACGGTAGATTATAATCGATATTAATTATTTTAATTTACATTGATCATTAATTAGTATATTATAATTATAGTTCGTTATATGGATACTATATATGCAAATGTAATTTACGCTACAATTAAATTTATATTTTATTAATAATTATATTTAATTAAAATATAAAATACAATTTTTCTAATTACAACAACTTATTATGTGAAATATATTTATGTAAGTTTTCATTATTAATTAAAATTATAATAAATCCTGTGTTTAACAAAACGAAAAAAGTTAATAGTTTTTGTTTTTCATTCGTCAATATTAGCATTAAATACAAAAAGTTGTTGTAAAATAAATCAATCCGTTATATAAATAGTGAGGATTAAGAAACCATTCATAAGATGTACTCATTTTTTTCACTCCGAGATTCGTAGAAAATAATAAAATATAATAAATAATTTATTTATAAACCCTTTTTCATGTGAATACCATTTATTGTGTGAAGTGAATGGAAAAGTCTATGTAATCGTTTCACCATTTAATAGTAAAAACGCCTTTCATATAGCAATTACAATTAAATTATTATGATTTGTTAAATCAATATTTAATATTCTAATTATTTGAAATTATAAGTTATTTATATATTTATTTCATTCACATACGGGACGATTATATTTGTAATAATCTCATATACAAATAATTAGTATTAAATATTATTTATAAATTATAATTCACACGATATCTTATTTATCTCGTTTAAAACCATACTTTGTTTCATTTATATCTCACACACATATAGGCAAACATTATATCTCGCAAACATTTTCAATCACTACTTATAGGCTATTAATGTCTAACAGTTTTAGTAACAAATATGTAATTTAGAGTCAATTCGTATTTATTTTTCATTTACTGACTCTAATTGACTGCAATGTATTCACGGCTGGAGATATGTATAAATATTTTTAGTGATCGTCCCATTTATTTGAAGGATTGAGAAAACTATTTTTACATAATTATTGCAAATCCCTTCAAAGTTTAAGGCTTATAATAATTTTTATAATTTGATTTCTAATTCAATATCAAGTGATTTTATTTGCGGGTATATGTAAAATATTTATTTACTGTATATATAAATGCAAATAAAACCTCTTTTGATATTTTTCATTATTTAATATATGATATAATATGAAACGAAATTATATTTTGATTTTTGTTTATAAAAGATTTTTTCCTAACAAAAGGCTTATAAAATCGTTTTATACTTAAAATGACATAATTGTCAATACATTACAATAAGCTTTTTATAAAAACATACTTTTTGTTAAATTGAATATTTATAAGAATTTATCTCAAGTTTAGATTTTGTATTAAAATCTGAACTAAACATTAAACATAATATGAAATGTAATTACATTTTTATGACATTTTAACTTTTATTAACAATTCTGTTATAGATTATAAAATATTTTATATTTATTTAAAACCTTTTTCCAATTATTATTTAATCTTTTTATGCGAACAATTTCACACATAATATATTTATTTAAATATAATGTTTATTATTCATTGATTATATTTTTAAAATCTGTAAACCCTTTCGCAAAGGTAATGGCATATAATTAAATATAATTCAAATAAAACTATTTGTATAGACTTTATAGCAATATTTCTTATAGAAAATATTGCTGTTAATTTTTAAATACAATTTTGTATACTTACAATAAAAATAGAAAATTTCATGAATTAAATAAATATCAACAATAATAACAAATATATAAACGAAATGCTATTAATTCTGTGATATAAATGTACACTAATATTGTGCTACAAATTCTCGATTTGTTATTGAGATTGGGGTTAAAAACTCTATTAAACAGCAAATAATAGTTAAATGTCTATAAATTGCCCTAAGAAGAGGTATTTATTGGCATTTAATATACAGTTTTGTTTAACAAAAAACTTATTGATTCACACAATATATTAAAGAAAAGCAAATAAATAAATAATAAAAAGAAGATATCGATAACAACCGAAAATATTTTTTACTAAATTAATAATAAGTATGTTTAGTGTTAGTATAGTGCACTTAACTCGAAATAAACATTTCTGCCAAAAAACTAGTTTTCATTTGTATATTCATATCGTGTGTCTATTATTGTATATTTTATATAGTTTTTATTATTTATCTCCTAATTTATTACAAATAAAAATCCCAATTGTGTTAGAATTCGCACATAATTTAAAAATAAAATCTCTCTCTCTCTCTCTCACTCACTCACTCACTCATTGTGGACACTATTTATCCAAACATAATAATATATATTATACTTGATGTGAATTACCAGGGAATGGGACAAAGAACTGAAGAATCGCAAGAAACGAAAGCCAAGTCTGCTTCGGGCTATACTCCGGGCGTTTGGCTTCTGGTACTTCATGTCCGGCTCACTCTCCATACTATCAGTAAATCAATTGACCAATTGTTTTCATTTGACTTTTAATTAATTAACAAATATTTAAATAATTAAATAGGAAGCAATAATCAGGACATTACAACCAATAGCTATGGGATATTTTGTCAGATTTTTGGATGAATATCGGGATACAAATGATGAGAAGGCGCTACAAAATTTCTACGTTATGTCGGCAATGATTATCATATTTGGCATAATCTATATATTGCTATATCATCCGTACTTTTTTAAAATGACTCGAAAGGGGATGCAATTGAGGTTTGCATTTAGAGATGATATACTGATTCATAAAATAATGGGTTGACTAACATTTTAAATTAATTAATACATTATTAGGATAGCGTGTTGTAATCTGGTGTATAGGAAAGCCCTACGACTGAGTCACAAAGCCCTGGGCAAGACCACAGTCGGCCAAATGGTTAACCTTATATCCAATGACGTGAACCGTTTCGACAACTCGCTTATCTTCATACCATTCATACTGACGGGTCCTCTGCAGACACTCATTACTGTCCTCTACCTATACTGGGAAGGACTGGATTGGCCGGTGTTTGTGGGCTGTTCGGTGCTGTTGCTATACCTACCGTTCCAGATGTTTATGGGGCGGCTATTCTCAAAACTGAGGGCTAAAACGGCGATACTAACCGACGAGCGAATCCGACTTATGAACGAAATAATACCGTCGATGCGAGTGATAAAGATGTACACCTGGGAGATCCCCTTCGCCAAGATGGTAGAGATAGCGCGGCGCCTGGAGGTCAACAAAATCAAGATCACGTCCCTATTGAGGGGCGTCAATATGGCCCTGTTCTTCGTGTCGGCCAAAGTCATCATATTCTTGGCGTTAGTCGTCTTCATCCTAAATGGCGGTACAATTACGGCTCAGTTGGTGTTCGTGGCGATCGCCCTCTTCAACAACGCCCGCACGAGTCTCACACTCTTCTTCCCGTACGGCATATCCCAGGGCTCGGAGGCACTCATATCCATGAAGAGGATACAAGTAATTTACAAATTGTGTACTCATTTTGTGTTGTGTTAAACGAAACTTTTGTCGTGTGTTTAGGAGTTTTTACTTTTGGAGGAAAAGGAGTTGCAATCAAAACATATCGATAAGACTGAGAAGATTAATAACGCGGACGACGCGGGCGTTTGGTTGGACGAGATGTCCGCCTCCTGGGCCGAGGAGGACCACTCGGAGCCCACTCTTAATAAGATATCGTTTAACGTAACCCCAGGAGAACTCATTGTAATCGTTGGTAAATATGATAATAGATTTGATTTTTAACGAATGGTTAATAACTCATATTTCATCTCCAGGTTCCGTTGGGGCGGGTAAGAGCTCTATACTTCTGAGTGTCTTATCTGAAATACCCATAACTAATGGTCATATGAAAGTGAGGGGCAAAGTAGCCTATGCCAGGTATGTGAATTTTATTTGATTGGGTTATATAAAGTTTAGTGTAAAAAACTTAACCCCCACAGCCAACAAGCATGGTCATTTGCCGGCACTGTTAAGGAAAATGTACTCTTCGGTAGTATTTTTGATGAGGAAAAATACAAGAGAGTACTTCATGTGTGCGCTCTTGAAAAGGATTTGCAGTTATTTCCTAACGGTTTGTATGATTTAATCAAAGATACTCTCAAATCATTAATAAGTAATTTGTCAAATAATTAGGCGATCAGACAATAGTCGGTGAGAGGGGTGTATCGCTAAGTGGTGGCCAAAAAGCACGTATCAATTTAGCACGAGCTCTGTACTGCGATGCCGACATCTATTTACTGGATGACCCGCTCAGG